TTTTGCAGAATTTACTTCGCACAGAGAAGAAAAATCACAGCAGTTTTAAAGAATTGCCGTTGAGTAGTTTTCCGTTTGAAAAATAAAATATGACAGGAAGTCTGTAACATCGCAAACCGAGTTATGTGATTGCCGACTTACACCGTCGATATAGCTTGATGCTTATTTCTGTCGTACATATATCTATACAACCAGCTGATGCAACCTAAGGATTTTCAATTACATCTGCTTTGCGATGAATTGATTGATCTGCCATTTAAACCTACAGGAAGGGATCAATTATCGGGGTTTCTGCAACGAGCACCTTAACAATCAATTCTTTACCATAGTTTCAAATAGAAAAATATCGACGGCCAATTATTCACACTTCACCACTGGTGAAAAGAGGAGAACTTATGGCTTCATTTCAAGTCTCAGAAATTCAGAATTAGAATTGTAAATTTAACAATGGACTTCCATCACAGTTCTACAGTCAAGTTTTCTTTTTTTTAAAAAAAAAGCTTGTTTTTTTAGTAAAGCTCTCTTTTAAAATTCTCGCATTTTAGTAATAACGATCGTTCAACCTCTTTCCAATCTGATCTTAGCAAAATCCCCTCATGCTCCTCCTGTGATACCAGAAATATATACCAGATACTTGGTGTTATAAGTTGACCTTCAATTTGTAAACTTGTAAGATTACTTACTTTAATCATTAAATCCAAATCTTGAACGTAGGGAACGTATTTCTGCCAAGGTAAAGTAATGAGATTATCATGTACAATTTTCAAAATAAATTCTTTGATTGCTGCATTTGCGTAACTTGTTCCATAGAATTGCAAAACAAAACTTAGAATATTGCTATTATCTGAAAAAAGAGAGAAAAAATGGAAATATTATGGTAACCGTGGTACACAAGAAGACACTGTACTTTTGGATTGCAAACCGTCCCTTTTAGAATTCATTCTTGATGTCAGAGGAGACCCTCTTGGAAGGCGAATCAATGCTGGAGCTGAAATGGCTATGATTGCAGATAACCTTCAGGCATTTTTTTCAGTGTACTGTTTGCCAATAATTATACAGTTGTTACTCGTTATGACATTTTTGAGAGGGACTTAAAAGTAAAATGTTGTTTCCAGAAAAATGTCATTTTAAGAAACGCTATGATGAGCAATTGGTCGAAACTTTAAAAAATGAACATTGTTCTTGGAAAAACGATGTTTCGAGAAACATCGAGGTACATCAGTGTGTTTAGAATTCCTTTTACTTGCTTGACATTTACGATAGTTGAGAATAGAGTTCACTCATTAGTTTTTCTGTCCGACATCTGAATTCATTAATCATAAAATAAATTTAAAAATTGAAATTTCAAAGAAGTTTTAATCGTTGATATTGTTTGAATGTATTCCTTCTATAAGCAACATATTGATTCACAATTTAAAGTTATCTCAATAAAATTAACATTGTGATTAAAGGAAGACTCCTTTGCTTTTGTCACTCATTGGAGCCAATGCAGTAGGTTTTAATGAGTGCATAACAGATAACAAAGTATCTCAAAATTTAAGTTTCAAGATATATCTTATAAAAACTGGCATGAAAATTTTACTGATTGGTATGTACTTTTCATTCTGTGCCTTCTAAACCATGCAGATTAGAATATACTTACTTGGAAAGACTTCAAAAATGAATTTGATGGCTTCTACAAAAATTGTCATGACTTTGCTTGCTTTGGAGGTATCTTCTGCAACAAATGGGGGTAAAACCGAGCGGTCATCGGCGAGCTGCTGAACCCAACTGGGAGTTGGCTCATTGAGCTGAGATGTGAAATATGGTGATATCCATGGAGAGAAAAGATTCAGAAGTTTTGGCCATAGTTGCTCACACACTGGAAAAAGGAGAAAAAAGAGAATTAGAATTGGATGCAGCAATAAACTGAAGAATTTTATATTAGAAAAAAAGCATTAAACTAAATACAACAGAAACAAAAGACTTGACTTGCCTAATCTTTGCAGAACGTTTCGATACATGTAACTCAAAATAAACTCAATCAAGCAAAAAACAAGACAAATCAAGAGGGCAGTGCAGATCAGACGTGTGTGAAGACTACATAATTGGTTCTGCCATGAGTGCAGTGCTAAAAAATGAGGCATTGAGTTGAAAATATGGTAACGCAAATGCAAAAAAAAATCAATAAAAAAAAAAATATTTTCATCAGTTTTGATTAGTCATGATATAAAAATTGTAGACTAAAACAATGGCTCAATACTAGCATAAACTGATCTACATTTGAATAGTGAATGAATCCTTTACAATATTTTACAAAGTGTTTATTTTCATTGATACTAACAGTAAAATCATGATACAACAGTGGTACCGTGCGGAAGAAAATTGAAAATAGCTAAAGGTGATAGTGGATTGCATACAAATTATGTGTAATTGACTAAGAAATTATAAAAGAGCACAAGAAAACATAATGGAAAAATTATGCAATGGGCATGCTTCAATGAGATTGAAAAATCAACAAGTTCGACTTACATTTATCTCCAAGAGAACCCCTATCTTGCTGCAGAATTGATGCGATCAATGCATGGCTGATCAACATCAACAGAATGTTAAAACTTTCCAAGTAAATTTTGTACTTGGGATAGAGACCATAGAGCCCATTGGCAACCCTCTCTTTCATGAAGTGATTACTTAACAACACTATGGTTTCCGTCAACTGAAACAGTCAATGTTGAAATTAGGATAACATGATAGAAGTGTATACCTAGAAGAGTTAATCAACAGGAAGAAAGAGGAGAGAAGTAAAATAATTGATAGAGATATGTTAAATGAATACAAGCTATGCGACGAAGACTGTGGAACAAATTTTTCAGTTAGCCTGCTTTGATAATACTATTGGAAATATTGAGAAATGGTAAAGAGGTAAAGTAACAACACTTCTAAAGTGTTCTTTTCTGTTGAAACAGCATGTTTAATGGATTAAACTTGCTATTTTATTTTATGGCAATGAATAATTTAAATTTTTTGTATAAGTGGTATAATGAAAATTTTCTGAAAATAAAATAAATTCTTCTATTATTACCTCATGGTAACTTAGTGACCGCTGTTCTGTGGCATACTTTCGTGCTATATCTTTCAATTGGGATATTGAGAGATCAGGTTTCAAAACGTACTGAGAGGAACCGATTAAAGTGTTGAGTACACTGAACCAGACCTCAGGAGATATTGATTCCTCTGCAGTATGAGATAAAACACTATGAAGGATTTCACCATAGTGTTCTGGAAACTCATGGGCGAGTAACACACACAGATGTTTCCTGTAAACCTAAGACAAGATACAAACAAAGAAAGTTAGACAATATTTTCCTGTAATAAAACATTAAAAGTTAAGCAATTCTTAGAAATACTCTTGGAACCCGAGAAACTCTAAAATTTAAAGCAGTTTGAATTTGGCAGAAATGGTGGAATTTACAGGAGATTTTGAAAATGTTGACAAAATTTTAAAATTTACAAGATAATTGAAACCTTTGGAAGAATTTAAGAGAAAGATTTTAGAAAATTAACTTGATAAAAAAAGGCAAATTTTCCTTCTTTGGAAAAAAACTAAGTAAGAAAAAAGCTTCCCTAATTTTACCAGCAATCCACTAACAGGATCTCCCATTGTACAATCTTAGCACAAGTCTCCTATATTATTTTTGCATATTTTAGAGGAGAAAATGTTGGTTTTTATAATCCAAAACTTCGGTTAATTTTACTTAGTTTGAAGACATGCTGACCCATGCACACACAAAGACATGAAGACATACTGTTGGATGAAAGCAAATTACAAATGATCGTCTGGGTGTAACATAAAAAGTCGCAGTGGGCTCGATGTAGAAACAAGAACGACTCTCATACATTTGTGCCAGCTATGAGCTTGAGCTCTTTTGACCCAGTTGGCGACATTTTGTAGCTCATCAACTTTAATAATCCACAGTTATGATGCATACAGAATATTAAGGATAAATTAAAAAAATAAAACATTTTTACCTCGTGGATGGATGCTACTGCATTGGCAGGCCTACTGCCAAAATACGAGAGAGACTTGCGTATTAAATCGAGGAGTTGAGATCGTTCAGACAAGCGGGGCTTTTTGCTAACTAGCCATTGCTGAACATCAAACTGAAAGGATATAAAAAATAATAATAAACTGAAGACTCACTGTCAGTAAAAAACAAAGGACACATCTGGCAGAAGCAATTTTAATTATAATACTAGAACCAATTTTAACAGAAACGCATTAAGTTTGAACTTAGAATCAGAGGTTTGAAGTTCTATTTGGAAAGTATTGACTTTGAATTTTTGACAGGAGAAAATATACACATTTTTCCGATAAATAACCTGAATGAAAATTCAAAAATTTAAAAAAAAAAAAAAAAAAAAAAAAAAAAAAAAAAAAAAAAAGCAGGCTCATTTGAAGCTTCTAACTGACCTGCAGTTGAAAATTATCAAAATCTGCTTAATAGATTTTTAAATATTACAAAGAACAAAAATGAAACTTTTTGGAGTCACAAAGCTTAGAGTGTTGATGAATTGATCAATAAAGCATACGGCTAGAAAAAACAGTGATTTACTGATCAAGAGCACTTGAGAAACAATCGACACGGATAAAATTACTAACTCTTTGATCTGAGAATAAATTATTGTGTAAAACATATGTTTACCTTGGACAAGAGAGAAAAACATAGATCCACACTTTGAAAATCTATAGAATCACAGAGAGTTCGATACATCAACAGGAAAACTGGCGAAGGGGCAGCCAGAGGGGTGAAGTGAGTGGTTAGAATTTGTTCCAATTTTGGTTTCTTCAAAACAGTATCCAGCAATCTAGAACACTCAGCTTCTTCGTTATCTATAAAACGCTGTGAAAAAAAAAAAAAAAATTAATAATTCACTAAGTTTCTGTTGAAGTTGCGGAGAGATTTATCATTGTCAAACACAGAAAAGGCAAATTTTATTCCCACATTAGAAACAGTTAAAGTTATACCTGTTCTTTTTTTTATTAGTCTTTTGACCAGTTTTATGATATCATTTAAACGTAAAAAAAGCATCGATTCTTGGGAGCTTGCAAACGTTTGAAACAAATTTTATTTTTTAAAATTTTTTTGCCTTTGTCACCTATTGAAGAAATTATCATTATTCGGAATCAAGGCTCATTTTAACGCCGCCTTCCAACTAAAATATTGTCTAAACTAACATCAAAAAAGTCATTTTATGGAAGTTCCACTGAACTTTTTTTATCCTTTGATGCTCAAAAATCTTGGCAGTGAAAATGATGGACACTTGATGAATGTTGTTGATGTTAGTGTTGATGATTCAGTGAATCACAGTTAAGTTATGGTAATACAATTTGAAAAATAAAAAAATCACTTATATCCATGATTGGCATTTCCGGATCAATTTTTCAAAAATAAAAGAGAGCACTTACCTCTCCAAGCAAATGGATTATATCCAGGATAAACTGTTTGCTTGGTGCATAAACAAATGTTTCGACCTCAAACACCGAGACAAAATGATAGAATAAGGCAACACCAACGTCCTTGAGAGCGCATATTAATTTTGCATCTCCGATTTTGGACACCTCCAAAAACTCCTGCTCAAATGCTCTAGAGACACACACATAAAACATCCAACTTTAAATTTTATCTAACAAGGAGTATGCACACAGTTAAGTTTCATGATAATATTTCTTAAAACAAAATTTTCCCTGATACTACATGACTACATGAGACACTTTAGGTCCCAGCTAAACTCCCATTAGTAACCACGAAAAATGTTTCCTGTTGCGGCGGTTTCCGAATATGACATTCAGAAATTTTAGTCCGATTTGCAAAAGAAATGTAGCATCAATTCCGAGAAATGGCGAATTCCCTTTGGAGGGGAAATTTTTTCCCTTGCCCTTCAAAATGACATTATTTTGAGCGTAGGGGTGGGCAAGAGTGTTCCAAAAACCTACTTAATAATATCAATGCACAGGAATAGACTTGCAAAAACTTTCCATCAACCCTTATAGCTTTCATCAAGAAAGTGCTTTCGGATCCATTTGATTTATTTTGGAAAATTTTTTTTAAAAATTACAATACAAAACTTCATTTTTCATCAATTTCCAGGATGAACTTCTCTCATGATATTTCCAATAAATTATGATGCAATAGTCTTAAAACAGCATTCTTTTATGTACAAAATTTGATTATTCTGAAATTTGCAAACAATTAATTAATACATAACGCAGCAATACAAAGGATTGATCGATACTTACTTGACTAGATTCTCAATAAAAATAGTTGAAATGCACAAATTTGATGGCGGTTCCAGTAGGGATGCTTTCAGAAGGCGCTCCGATTCTGAACGATTTTCTTTCAGCATAGCATCTACAGCATAGTTTATCTGAGCTTCTCTCACCTATAAAGATGGATAAAAATGATGGTAAGTTAAAAAACCAGAAATTAGGAACTGGAATTCTGCAGAAGAGGTGGTACCGCTTTGTGACAGACTACCACCTTGCCCAAAATCATTGCATTTTCTTAACCCTTTCACTACCTGACCTCATTCTTTTTTCTTTTCCTTTCTCAAATAAGTTTATTTTGGTACTTAATTATATTTTTACGAATTGAGCATAAAAATTGTTAAATCTGTAATTATTTTCTTTTATACGTTTAGTTTTTGCAGACGCAATTCATTGTAAATTGTAATCCTTGGCAAGAATGTGTTTCCAAAGTTACAACATTAAATTTTACAAGAGGTTCGTTAAACTTGTCCTTCTATGATGCTATGTCAAGGATTTCCTTGAACGTCCCTGAATCACAGTGTAAACCATATGGTGCAACCTGGAAAAAGAAGCTGCTTAAGGAATAACTAAGCATACAGTTCTGATTCTATAGGAAAGTTTGATCTAAAATATTTACCAGTAATCTTATAGTAGCTGGCCCAGCACAATGTAGATTTTGTGGCGATTTCCTTCGATTGGGACTCACAGTGTCGCAGGCTGCTTTTAAGACTATTTCCTTCTCAACATCTTTGTAGAGCTCCAGCAATGAATTTAAAAATTTAGAATCTAAATCTGAGTATAACTCCAGTTGGGCTGCGTGAGAGCTAAAAAAGGAAGAACATACAGTTAAGTACTTCATGGAATTAAACGAACAAAACTTTGAATGAAATTGATAGATAACAAAGAACCTCAACAAGCAACTGAATACTTTTTACTGCACTTCAACGTGGGGGGGGGGCAAGATTTAAGGGCGCTTTATACATTCTGAATTAATTTTTGAACATTTTTGAACGAGTTTGAAAACGTACTTGAAAAAATGTTGACAGTGAAACTCCCAAACCACCTAATCGACGGTGGAACTGCAAAAATACGCATCTCGGTTGCGGTATTTTGAAATTTCCATTGGTATTTTATTTTTTAAAAGGAGACTGAACCAACATCATGGCTTTGAAATTTTCACAGAATATTCTTCATAGAGAGAAGAAAAATCACTGACATTTTCAAAAAATTAGGTATAGTAGTTTTTAATGAGAAGAATAAGTATGACAGGAAGTCTGCCACAAAACAAGATATGCATTTCTGCAGTTCCACCATCTATATCTCGTTTGCAAGGTTGAAACATCTCTGCTCCTTTTTTCTCAGGGAGAACAAATCAAGAACATCCCTTTGAGTTCTTTCAGAATTCGCTGCACACAGAAAAAAAAAGTCACGGAAGTTCTTAGGAGTTGACATTGAGTAGTTGTCCCTTTAAAAAATAAAGTATGATGGGAAGTCTGCAATGCTGCGAATCAAGATACGTGGTTAGGGAATTTCACTATTGATTTTAAATCTAACAAAAGATCTAAGTGCATTTGGCTTCATTACCAAGTCAGTAGTAAAGAAGGTTTTGAGCAAAGCACACACTGGCTGTCTCTGTGGAATAAATAAATAATATTTTGTAAGATGGTTCTTTGGATTTATTGCCACATTTCCAGGCAATACTGAGAAGGTGAGTCATGAAAGATGATTGGCTGAACTTACGCAGAAAAATTGGCGAGAGGTTTCAAAGATTTCTGAACTTTCTCCATCATTACTGTTTTATTTAGCAAGGCGTCCCGCGGGTAACTGGGAATAACTTGACTGGATGGCTTCAGCTGAGGTGGAGCTTTAGGAGTATCATATGATTTCAATCTGAAAATACAGGCATTTTGGAATTGAGCGGAATTCAAATTAGGCTCGAACAGTAGGCAAACTTTATAGATAAGCCATTGAGACACTTATAGTGAAGGAGAAGGAGAAACAGCAAAATTTACAATAACTCGCAATCCTTACTGAACTTTTTCATACTTGGTAAGGTGACTGCAGAACTTTTTTTTCCCAAAATTTTCGACTTCCTTGCCAATTGCTTAGTATTCATTTGTAGATATAGGATGAGCCAGGATTGGCAAAAAAAATAGTCTCATACCTTTTAATGATGCGTTTGATCGGATCATCCTCCATTAAACAAGAATTAGCAGTTGAGCTAAACAAATTTTCTTTGCCTCGGTTCTTAGAATCCATCCAATTTTTCACTGATGCTTTTTTCTCATCTTCGATGACCATTACATTTAAGTACTCTGTCCAGTAGCTCTGAAAAAAATCGGAAAGTTAAATGAGACTCTTTTAGAAAGTAAATTCTTTATCTTTTGTTTGACATGTTTCATTTTTAAAAACATGACGCCAGCTCCTCCAATACCTGCATTGAAGTTAATTTTTTTGCATGAAATTTTAAAAACAAAACCATCACCTTTCAACAGAACAGATTATCCGGTTAACTATTTGACTTACATAAGGTAAATGATTAACTTAAGATAATTTTTAACTTACAGCGTCTTTTTCTAAGATCAGCGAGAGTTTGTAGGTGTTATAATTGGATGGAAAAGCAGGAAGGAAAAGATCTGCTTCTTGCAAACGAGCCTCTTCCAGCCAAAGAAGTAAAGTATTATAGAACCTACGGAAAAGAACACAAAAAATTACGATCCAAAAATGAGTATTCCAACAAAACAAATGATCTGCAGCACAGTTTCTCCTTTCTTGGTTTAGCATAGCAGAGAGAATTTATGATGAGGAATGGAGAAAATGAAGAAAAAACCGATCAGTAAATAAGAAAGTTGGAGGAGCCTTCTTTAAACTTTTCAGGCTTGGAGTAAAAAATTCTATGAATTTAGGGTTCTACAACGTAAGCCTTTATTAACATTGCGTAACATTAACAACAACAAAAAAAAAAGGATTGGGTTATTTTAATGGTGTAAAAGGGTATCTTACTAAAAGTGATTCTACTCAGTTAGATTTGACTACAAAACCGACATCTATTTGAATGTTAATTTAAATATGAATTTATTGCTGCAATTATTTGAGTCGTTTACAATGCATTAAAATAGACTTCAAAACAAACATAAAGTTCTTACCGAACAAGGTTTTCATGAAATTCTTCAAGTGGTGAATTGTTGGAGGTTATCTTCTTCAGCTCATTATTATGATGCTCTACTGAATCAAGTAGTTTTTTCTTAATTTTTTTCAAATACATTTGATTTGAAATGCCTTCGAAAAATTTGTATCCAACGCTACCCTTGTCAGAGGGACTGAGAAAATTGAACATACAAAAAAATTAAATGTTATGAGATGGGTGACAGGAGATATAAGAACATTTTTGCTTCATTATAAAATCAGCAATTTCTTCCAATTTTACGACTTGAGCGTCCAATCTAATTTATCAACATTTCATATACTGCGAAACTTTAAAAAAAGCGTAACATTTTTTTCATAAATAACATGAACGCAACATGTGATGGGATGTCTACATAATTGATGATGGATCATTTCCAGGATAGATGCAAAAAAAGAAGACCCTGTTAAATTTATTACTTTCTTCACACAAAAAAAAATTCTTATAGAATGATTATTTTTGAGCCACCTTTGATTCCAGATAGGCAATCATTTATTTGGCACAAAAATTTGGTTGAATAAAATTAAAATAAGACTCACTTTAAAATAAGAAATAAGTATTAAATAAATGTTTGCCTTGCATAATTTTAATTTTAAAGACTATCCATTTTGAAAATAGTTGGTGTGGTAGGGAAAAAACTTTCACTAAAATGCTTACATACCCAGGTACGCGAGCTAAGTACAGCATGAAGAATTTTTGCCAGAACAATGGTAACACTGGGTCGTCACAAGGTAGGGCTAATCCAAACTGGCTCCACCGAAAAATAGCCAGCATGGCACTGCCGAAACATGGTATTTTGAGATTCGAACAAACTCTTTTCAGAGAATTGTCGATTGAGGTTTTCTTATTAGATGAGGCGAGCGATTGCAGAAGCTCTGACCAAACGTTGGTTTCTATCTCCATGATCTTCTCTTCAATTTCGAGAACAAAGAGGGCATACCAGCTCAATTCTGGTTGGAAGATGTTTTTTGGAATTAGAGTTGGGTACGCTTGAGTGCTGTTAGACATCCAGCTGACTAGGAACGAAAGACCGTTCGTTGAATTGTGCGAGTCACCCATCATCTGTGACTAGAATGAAAAAAAAAAATAAAAATACTGGTAAAAAAGAGGAAAAACTCAGAAGACTAGGGCTGTTTTTTTTTTTTAATTTTAGAAGTTACTCCTGGTATTGGAATTCTGCAGCTTAAACAAGTTACAAAAGCCGTTACTCCACTCTCATCAGATCCAGTAAAAGTAAATTGTAACCCTAATTTCAAAGACTCAATTAAAGGAGGATATAACAGAATCCGAAACATTATCCACAGTATTCTTTTTCTTGTCTTTTTTTTACTTTTAGTCGTGCAAAAGATTGTTTCCTTCCAAATTTTTGAGGGTTCCCAGCCATGCTTTAATCATTTTCTTGTCTGACGATACAAAACATGACAGAAAATAGTAGAAAACGGAAAAAAATACTAATAATTTTTTGGGTGAGCTGTGACTTGCTGAATTTTAAATTAAGAGCTTTACTTTTAAAACAGTTTCTTAGTGGTATCAAAAAATCTGAGCCATTCCTGCGTAAAATTTAACTTTAACAGATTGATTAATAGAATTAATGATATACTTACTTTGTAAAAAGTGGTAAGGATTTCAAGGACCCTCAGTCTCATATTTGCATCAAAAAAGGCAGTCTTCAACAAAATATTGATTAGATAAACAGTGCTAGCAGGTTCCATTTTCCAAACTGACAAGAGGCAATTCAGCCACAACTCAATAATTGGGCCAAAATTATTAAGCGCATAACTAAGCAAGAAAAAAAATAATAAAATACGTCAGTAAACGTGAAATAGCTGACAAAGAACTGAAAGTGAATTCTTGATACTACAGATGTCGGATGTTTAGATATTTACGGACAGACTATCGATTCAAACTTAGAAACACCTTTCCCAGGGTAAAGCCATTTCGACTTAAGAAATCAGAGAAATTCTATGCCTAACTTTCCATTAATTACTGGTTACTCTTTTTGAATTGTAAACATTGCTTCAAGTTCAGTCAGCATCAGAGGATAGTGTAGGGAAACATTGGATATAACTTTTGAGTGTTGAATCCAAAAAAATATGCAAATTTCCAGATTAGACAAAAAGTAACAAATAAAATTAGTAAATTAATTCAAATATTATAAATAATAATTACCAACCTTTCAAAATTTTTTAAATGAAAATTTATGAGGTCACCAAATTGAGCCAAAATTGGGCCAGGAAAATCGGTATAAATGAGATTCTTGGCAGACCTTGAGTAAGTGCGGTCTGCGGCTAATAATGACAACATAATATTGCGGAATCTGGAGAGTAAAATACATTGTTTTAATGGAAGGACCCATAATGAGTGGGAGGGGGGAAAAAATTATTAGAGTTAGAGTAAATTCACATTGATTTATTCTTCTCAGAGTGAAAATCATTCAACTTAAAAATTCAACATAGATTACTGATGTAACAATGCTAGGTGTATTAAGGATTTTCAAACATTCAGCACAATTAACACAGCTTTCATTTAGCAGTATTTCTTTCATTCTCTGAAAAAAAATTCAAGCTTTAGATTGAAAACAACCTCTCTCAACAAAAAAAGATAGAGCATTAGTGCCTTCTTTTTAGAGGGACGTTTAGACGTAACCCTCTTAGTTGACATAAATCTGAGTATCCATTAATTTTGATGACTTTGTCTGATTATCAACAATACCTAGAAAAAACAACAAAAAAATTAGGTGAATTCTTCAAAGGCCAAAAAAGGCTACTTACTTTTGTGATGAATACAACGATTGAGCAGATTCGATAAAAAGCGGGAATATTAGTTCCAAGGAAACGAATGCTGGGGTATAATAGTAACTATTTATTAATTTCAGAATGAAGTCAAATCCTTGGTTACAAATGAGGGGCAGGCTATGGCCACTTGTAGTCATCATCAAACTTGCATACAATGCAATAGATTGATGCTTCCCAATGTTTTCTGACAAACATTTCATTTCCTAGAAAAAAAGTAAAAACACAAATGTTAGCCAAAATCCTTCCTTTACCAATTGAAGAAAATTATTTTTCAACTTATTTAAGACAATGAAAGTTTTCTTGATTAATAATGAAAGTTCAGATGTAAGGATGGATGAGATTTCCAAAATAGTTCGAATCAGACCAACGTACCATTGAAAAATTAAAGAGGAAAATACATGTTTACTTGTTTTGCTCTGAAAAATTTACCGTAATAAGACAAATAGCAACTTTTCCTTTGTCTTGTTATAATTTGTCAGCAAAAAAGAGAACATTTGATAGTTGTTTATTGTACAAAGTATTCTGTTGAAATTATTAAAATCCAAACACAACAGTAAAATACAATTCATTGAAGAGATTATTCAATTCTTAATTTCACGTCACAGCAGTAAATCTTCCATGAAGTTAAATACCTCTGTTGGGTGCTCCAAGGATGGTAAATTCGAAACAGCCTGACAAACATTTATCACAGTCTTAAAAACTTTCGCACTGGATTGGTCCAATAAGTGTAACCGCAGTTTCAATAGAACTCTCCATGCCCATGCACTTAGAATCTGCTCAGGGGACTGCAATTTGACAATAGAAGAAACCTGAGAGCCAAAAAAATAAATATTTATGAGAGAATAGTAAAACGTTCTGAAAAAGACAAAAATCAACCTGAGATACACATATACATATACATTACTGAAAATTATTAAAAAATAGATTCATCCCTCATAGCACAGATAATACTTAGTAAATGGATAAGAAACTTCCGTAGGTATCATTTGATTTTGTTCAATTAAGAGTGAAAAATATTTTAAAATAACTCGTAATTGAAAACAAAAACAAAAATGAAATAAATGAAAGCAATGATGAGGAAAGCAAAGAGACCTGTGAAATCTTTGGTACTAAACAAGCCACTCTTGGGATTTGTCTCCACGGGACGTATTCATGGGCTTTGTCCGAAGTCTGAATCGCAGAAATGGAACTTCTGAGATTATTACCAGTTATTGTCTCCACGGAACAGGGCTCTCGCGCTCCTGTGACAAGTTGGCGCAGGAAGATAAATGACTAAAAGTTGAGTATTTAAACAGAATTAAGATGATAATTGTACATGATTAACAGCCAGACGAATTATTTTAATAAATACAAACAATCGAGTAAACAACAAAATATTGCACAGTTTGCTTTCACTTTTTCGGCGGTTTTAGGGGTATAAGGACCATACTTGGTACTGAGAAAAATATTGATTAACTCAATATTTTTCCCAACTTCGAAGTTGGGATTTTCCCTGGGACCAATCGCGACCCTGGACCCCTGGGACGACCCGTGGAGACGAGGCCTCATATTTTGCTTTCCCATCTTCGATACAACGTCCAATGCTCAACATTCATGTTGGTCCTCTCCCCTCCCAGCCCATGACTGCACAAAAAATTAATTGTCGTCGCCTTGTTCGGAAGCGACAGGCTGACAAGGCCACAAATGACATTCAAAAAAATTACTACTTACAGTAGAGAGACTCATTAAAATTTGGAGTATCCCTTTCATTGCTTTTTGTCTCATCGACTATCCTGAGAGTTTATTTTCGATATCATTTTTAAGCTTGGAGCTGACAGCAATGCTCAGAGTGTTATACCCCCTTCTCTTGCAGTCGCAATAAAAAATCCATTGGCTTTCTTTGAAAACAGAATGGTCCTACCTTATTATAAACACAATGAGATCCATCATCGAACAAAAAGTCTAAATTGAAAAATCCTTGAGCTCCTCTTTTATTTCCATAATTTGACCATGATGATGTGTAAATTCAAATTACCTGTTTCATACTTTCTGATAGAACATCAGTTTTCTGAGACCCCACAGTTTCTGGCCCATGAAGAACAGCAGTTTTAACGACTAGAATCGCAACTTTACAATGGACATCATAAGGCAGAAACAAGTTTCTGAAAAAGATAAAAATTTAAATCTCAGAATTTAAAACACAGAATTAAAACATTGATCTATTTTAACCCAACTTTAGGAAAGAGGAATCGAACACTACCGACAGGACATCTTCAATAATAGAATGTTACGGCACGAACATGCATGTTTTGCTGACAGAGAAATAAAATTTATGAGATCTCACAGCTTAATCTGGAGAAAGTCTAAAATAAAATAAAAGGTAAAAAAAAAACAGGATGTTTCAAAATAATTATAATCTGGGAGAGAGCAAAAAACAACTAGCTGCATTTATTTTGAAACGTCTTGAGGGAAAGAAGTCCCGGTTTTATTTTAATCTTCTGGCCTTCCCCCTGATTAAGTTGTTATTTTGATGTTTTTTGGCTGATTAAGATGTTCATCATTTTATGAGATCTTAGGAATGACAAATACTAAGATTCTAACTTTAAAATAAAGATGGTAGATGGTGCATCTTAGTCTCAATTTAATATATATATAGGAGCTTACTCATTGGAGGCATCAAAGCCATAGTTTAGGCGGTCAATAATAAAACGTCCGAGATTGTTTTCAGCGGAGATCAATGGATAGAGAAGCAACCAATTGCTAATGATGTTGAAATCTTGCTCGGTTGGCCTCCAGTTGTCTAAGCACATGGTGTTAAATAAAAATAGGGTGATCTGAGAAAGAATACAGAAACACTAGATTAATTTACGTCAGAAGAGTAGGACGATTGTAAAATAAAAACAATTACATATTAATACATAATGCGAGTAAATAACTAAAAAGTCCAGCCATTTAAAACATTCCCTGTATTTTCAAACTTTAGACTCAAAATTATAAAACTATTAAGTTTTAATTGAAAAACGATGAAAAAAATTTTGATACAGTCTAGACCGTATAAATTTTTTTTTTTTTTTTTTTTTTTTTTTTTTTTTTTTTTTTTTTTGTTTTGAGACTGCGCATCCCAAAATTTCAAGTTTTTCAGCGTAATATTTTTTTTTTTTTTTTTTTTTTTTTTTTTTTTTTTTTATGAGATAATAGGTAGGCGACCTTGATGGCTACCAGTGAGGTCAGGAAACAAAACTCTCTTTAAAATATTCTCAGTAGTTGTTCGGTTCCAGCATTCAGACATCTTGAGACTCGGAAAATACTTTAGGAAGGACTGAAAATTATGAAAATAAGTTGACTGGTAACAGTTAATTTAGAGAGTATAGTGATATTTAAAGAATAACAGAGTTGTCAGAATAGATGAAGAAATTATGAAGATTAAAATTACCTTTCCAGCATCAGAGAATTCATTTTTGAAAATGTAAATAAACTCTGAGAGTAGATTCGGAAACCTGGTTGTTAAGCTTGCGAGCAGATTGCGGACAGATTTGGAACATTTATCTCGGCATTTGCTGGACATTACACCAACCTTAAAAATCACAAACCATGCGTATAGAATAAATGATAGAAGAAAGAAAATTCTTTGTGCAATTTCATAATCTGCAATAATTTGACTGGCTACTTCCCCGAGATTTTTAATTTAAAATTTTGAGCCGCTTACTGACCATTGAGAAACTTGAGAGATTTTTAAACCTTGCACCTAATTTCATAATTTTGAAATCATATAAGAAAGTTTAAAAGGTAATTGCGAGAGCATTTATCCCTTCCCCTGTGTATCGTTTTTAATCATGTTTAGAAACGAGATCTAGGAAGACATTCACAGTCTCCAAGTTTCAAGCAGACACTAAAGTACAAATTTTGCGTACCTAAATAAAATATTTCTGATTTTTGTGTTTGATTGATTGAGAATCTAATTCCTTACTTTGATCACTGTTTAAATATCCCTATTTAAACTTACTTTTAATAGGAGCAATGCAATGGATTTGATGAAGACCCAATCTTCGACTGATCGGGCTGATGCCATGTTTGAAATAGTTGTTAGGAGATATATTATTTTTTCATCTGATAAAGACAACAATGTCTCCTCAAAGGCTTCAACATCTGAAAGAAGAGGAAACAAGAGTAAAATGACCGATTTAAACATTATCAGGAATTATTAGAAATTTAACCCCCCCCCCCCAAAAAAAAATTGAAAAAAACTAATGTCTACCAAGAACTGGAGGGTAAGAGAATTTAATTCTTACTTATTGCCAGAGTATATTGTCAGAGGTAAGAATTAGACGTCGAAGGTGATAAACGATACAAATAATTGCAATAGACAAAAGAAGCAATGGGTCTATTGCACGCAAGAGATACAGACAAATAATGATACTCTTCACAGGTTAAATCTCGCGAAAAATCACGCTGGACACGTCAAAAAAGTCTGCGAACCATTCCTTAGTGCACAATCTGCATAGTTTGTAACACATTTTTTCAAGTTTCCTGCGTCTGCGGGCAGTTTTTCTCAGTCACTGCCAACCAGGTTTGCACAAGCAGAGGAGTAAAAAAAAAACTGATCCGAGATAACAAACGATTTCACTAACTTTTTCTACTATTTGATTTCAATCTTTTTCAAGTGTTGTTTCTTTTTTCTTTCTTTATTTTGCAAAAGCCAGTGCTTTGAATCAATTGAAATCTTATGCAAGGTGAGTTTATAACAGTTTGCGAGACTGTTTAATTATGCAGGTTGGGTCTCATTCCAGGCAAACCTGACTACCAGCCGCCAAGAAAAACTACCTGTATACACGGTGAATTTGAAAAAGCAAGTTACAAAAGACGCAGATTGCGCTTTAAGGAGTCGATTTCAAACTTTTTTGATGTGCCTAACGTTATTTTCAAGCGAAGTACCTCTTGGAGAGGGTATTCAGTTGGCTGTTTCTCTTGCATCCAACAGACCCATTTAAAACTTTAGCTTCCTCTGAAGCTCATTACTTAAGCCTAAGGAAGTCAAATTAATTTCCTTTTTCACAATTGCTAAAAATGTATTGATTTTGGAAAAAGTTCAAGACTCAACAAACTTATTTTAGTGAGCAGACCCTATTACAGAATTGTATTAGGATATCTACGAGACTTTTACATATGGTGCTTAAGAATTCAAATAAAAAATTCCTTACCAGGTAAGTTATTAGAGAAAGGCACAAGAAACGGAAACAGTTTGAACAAGTTATGAATGGAAAGTAAGTCGTAAGGAAGGGAAGTCAAAAATTGCCATGTCGCTTGGTTGTTGTACAAACAGAGAAAACTTCTCTTGAAAAATCCATCATACTCAATTTGCAAACGATAAAACAGACTGCTATCAACTATTGATCTAGTAGAGCAAACGGATCTGAAAGAAAAAGAATCAGACGACTAAAAAAATGAAAGAAGTTTCTAGCATGCGTATCTTTTTTTTTTTTAATAATACAACCTCATAAAACATTTACAGCTTAATCATGACTTTATAAGTCATAACAGCTGAGAATTGCCATACGCAAGCCAGAGATGATATGTGGTTTCTAAATGCAAAATGAAGTCCAATTGTTGCTTATGCGCTCTTTAACAGACACTGCCATAAGGTTCACACTATGTACAGCTAATAACAAAATAGTGCTTAAAGTGACACTTGAACAATTGAGATATACTTATTTTTCTTAATTCTGAGGAGAGGCTCCTAGGACACCAAGATATTCATGCAAAGTGCTGACCTTCATAAACTTTTTTTCTGCAATTATATTAATTATTAAAAGGAAAAATACCATATACTATACTTAGTTAAAAGGCCATGCCATTGGTAACGTTTATGTTCTTCAAATTGAACAACCTTTGAAAAAAAGCCTAAATTCATGAAGATATGGAGTTCACAAACCTGAAGGTTTTAAGATGATCAGAAGCGTACTCCACTATATGGACAGCTAATCTTCCCAGTCTCTTAACAAATTGCTTGTAGCGAGGAGCACTGAAATTTGTCATGCCACATTCTAAAAGTCCGACAACTAAGGAGGAAATGGCCAACATCCGTAGAATATCCCTGTCTGAGATGATACTTGGATCGTAGAAGTCATTCCCATCTCTGTTCGTAATAAGCAATAACTGTGAAAAGTAGAAACGGAAAAATTAATATTCAACTTTGGAAGAAGCGGGCAGTAAACTAAAAATTACCAATTTTCACAGCTATTGAATGATCTTTGCGGTTTCTTGGTGTTGAAAAAGAAAATAAAACTTCACCCCTGATTCCTGTATTTGACCCCAAAAAACTTCAAGACGAAAGATCAAGGTTCAAGTTAGAAACCTGTCAAAATTTAACGCGGACTATATTAGTTGACATTGAACTTTTTCACCTGGTAAGAATATTAAAGGAATTGCCTTGTCTTGACTCGAAATTTCAAATGGTTACTCGCATAGTGGTAGATATACCATAAATAATCACCTGGAATTAAATTGTATGCAAAAAATCAACTTCCTGATAAACATTAAAATAAACAAAAGGAATATCACACATTGATGGTCTAAGTGCAAAACCACGTATCTACATTGTGGTGTTCCAAAATTTCAACCCCTACTCTTATACAAAATATTCTGCTAACAAAGAAGAAAAATCAAGAAAGTTTTCAAGAAATTACGTTGACTAGTTTTCTCAAGAAAAAGTAAAGAACAACAAGAAGTGTTCAACATTGCAATTGGAGATACGTGGTTTCGCACTTTGGCCATGGGCACGTTTAAATGTCCTTTCACACTGATGCAGCAGCCAAAACTTACTTGTCGAAAAAATTGTTCAAAAGGTATTTGATTCAACAAATCAGTCACATCGTCTTCTTTGAGAGCGGACACAATTTTCTTTCCAGTTACTTCATCAGCTTCATCATCACCATCTTCATTCACAAAGACCCACAATGCCTCCCCTTCAGATTCTGAATCACTCAAAAATGACTGAAAGATGAAGAGAGAAAAAGTTGTTGTAAGCGTAGTCTAGGACCATACAAGAGACATAAATGTCACTCATTGTCAGTCAATATTCAAATTCTCTGGCTCATCCTTTCCAAGAAACATATAATCCTGCAACAGTCTTTCCTCCCTTTTTTCTCTCTTTTTTTCTATTTTACTTTATCTTCTTCAGTGGAGGGAGGGGTTGATTGGCCTCTTAGCTCCCTTCCCAATATTGATTGGCTAATTTTTTATCCACCTAAAATTACGACCAAATAATTTTCTGTTTGAATTTGATAAGAATGATAAAGTTTTATTGTTTTAAATATATATTATTGCTCAGGGCTGTTTTTTTATTGCTATGAATGATCATTTTTGTGATTATTACATTTATTACAGCGAATCGTTCTTATAAAAGAATTTTTTTGGATGTAGGGAATCTTAGATATATTTGGAAATAAGATATTGATGAGAATCATTCTAAATCATAAAATGTGATGGTGCCCCTATGACGGAATGTTTTGCCTCCCTCCCCCCTCATGACCCATTGCTCTAAAGAGCGTAAAACAGACAAATGCTGGCGCAAGTCATGATTTGTATTTTTGTCAAAGTAGAGGCTAGTTAAAACATTGATGCGTTCAACTTCAACTGGAGGCCATTTTGTCGCAGATTAGGATAAGAACCTGCAACTCGCTTCATGTCTCCTATTTCAATTTCTTTTCAGCATTGAATATTTTGAAAATGGGTCAAAAATGTTGACTCCTTTTGCCCCTTAATCCCAACTGGTCAGTCCCCCTTTGCAACTTTTTTTGAATTGCTTTATCCAGGAGTTTTTGTTTGATAAAAAATGGCCTACATTCTTACCGATCGAGGGTCAATTCTACCCACATGGGTGGAATCAAAATCCGAGAATAGACTTCACACATTTGATTGGATGAAAAAATACCAACCTGCAAAAACTGTTCTCTGCTATTTATAGGAAGTAATACTCCGGCCAACACTGCGATGAAATGATCTAGATATGCTTGGTCATGATGAGATCCTTCATATGGAACAGGAAGCTGAATGAAATTTGCTGCCCAACTGGAAAACCCAGCGGGACACCTGCAAAACGAGGTAAAGACGTTGAAAAAATTCTTACACTCATGGGATATCAACATTTTGAGGGAAGTCTTTTGACTTGAGAGGTAACAAAAGCTTATAAACAAATTGGGACTGATACCGTCAATGATCAATTTGAGATTCCCTGCCAGATGAGATGGCTAGAGTAGGAGGATTCTGCATGATTTCACAGTTTATCAGGTAAAGGAAAACATATTCACACAATTCTAAAAAAAAAGTATTAGCCCACATTTTTTAGACAGGTAGACTTAATCACATTCATCGTTAAGCCCATCCCAACAATATTCATTGGCGGATCCAGCAATTTGGCAACACCGGATTTCCTCTCTTTAAACCCATGGAAATGTATCGATTCTTGGAGGGGGCAGGTGCTTCGACAAGAATTGATTAATTAGCATGGATTTAAATGGAGAAAATTTGGTGTTGCCAAATTGCTGGATCCGCTTCTGACAATATTAATTAAAATTATAAATATTGATATACTTAGAGTTGATACATTGTGTGGAAAATGTATACATAAATCTCTATATCTGATAAAAGAATATTCTCAGAGCACTTCTGGGTGCATTAATTCATTTTATTGCAGCATGGTATGATTGATTAAGTCTTAGTAAACAAATGCATGTAATATTTACCTTAGAATGTGATTCAAGATAAACAAGTGATCTTTCCAGGTAGCCACGCGTACCAGAATAGCAATCAACTGGTTCAGATAATTGCGTACAAAACTTACAAATCCTTCATCTGAGATGGGTTGTCTTTGGAATGCAAATAAAACAGAGATAGCACTCCGTAGTTCAATTTTGATATGACTAACTTGGTGCGAAACAGCAGATGATTCAGGGACTAGAGACACTGGGGTATTAGGATTTAAGAAATTGAAATGCGACACTAATGACTGAATAAAATTTTCGACCTGCAAAAAAAAAAAGCAAAAGCCTGTATTAGCTGTAAAGCCTGAACAAATGATGGTAAAATAAGGCAAATATTTATGAGAATCATTATACTTTAAACTTGAAACAGAGCCTTGATTGAATGTAACTAACTATGCATTATATTTTTCTAGAAATTCTCTTACTTCGATGTTTAAAAATATATAGCAATATAGGTTTCAATACCAATTTTGTATAGGGAATTCAATTCACACTCTATGGACTGGAATTTGAACTTCCGGCTTCAAAATAATACCAACTTAATGCTATTCTGAGACTTTTGCTGTCTGGCAGAATAATTTACCTACACTTTAAATTAATAAAAATTGTTTTCCTGGATCGACTGAAAAGACATTATTGCACATCTTTTCAGTTTCTTTTGCTCAACTGCTAATTCGTCTCACAAAAGAACTGTATTGATCCAAAGTCTCTAAAATCTATGCTGAGTGATCTTCAAGTTGCAAAGCCCAGCAGATAGGTAAACCATAAGAATAAAGCTAATACATCTTAGAGAAAGTTATGAAAGGGGATAAACTGAGACGAAGAGCATGTCCATGTTTTCAATTACAGAAAAAAGTGAATCACCTTAAATTTAATGACTTCACAAGAGTGAATATTGAAAGAGAGTTCTTGACGTATTTCTTGGATTTCGAGAAGGCTATGAGAGAGTTTGGAGTACAGTACTTCGTTCATCCTGGAGACTCGATACTCGTACGTCCCAACAACTGGGTTACCATCCTGAAATAATGAGATTAGTCCTGGTGAGCATTCAAAACACTGAGCCGGATAGCTGAGAAAATTTATGACTTAAAAAATAAGAGTGTTCGTGTCATTTCAAAAAATGTTATATTCCAAATGGGTTCTCAGGGTTCTGTACTTTTACAATTTCCTTGAAATCTTTAGGAGTATTGGATATTCGACTAAATGGACACATGACAAAAAAACCTTCAAAACGAATAAATAAATAATTAAAGACATCAAGGGTGGCAAATCTCATTTATTTCATTTGTATTACCTGATTGAATGATTCATTTCATTGTGCAATATACCTCATTTCATTCGAATTTAATTTAAGTAATACTTCATTGTGGCTCTAGCAGGCTTAAAAAAATAAAAAGTAAGTATTTCTGAGCACTATTTTCCCAATTTTTAAGTGTACGTCTATGAATGTGAGATACATTTGTTTTCATAAGATTGAGCTTTTTCAAAACTTATTTGAAAAAGTTCAAATCAAGTATTTTAGGGTATGAAGGCCATCACCACCAGTGTTCGAAACTCACATGCGCCAACGCGCCAAATGGGCCTAAGAAATCAGTCATGGCGCCTGAAAAAAGAAGGCTCTGCGCCAACGTGGCCCCTAAAGATTGCCCCTCTCCTCTCCAAAAAAAAACCTAATTTTTCTGTTAGGTAGTTTTTCGAAATTTCCCCCAAGTTGCAGTTACTAGTTCTGTAACTAAAACATCTTGCGTCTAACTATTCACTAAATGCGCTGTGGTATGTAGGCAAAAAGTCAATTAGGCCCCTAAAAAATCTTTAATGGCCCCTAAAAATCGATCTTGATGCGCCACATGGCTCCTGAAACTCAAAGGTGAGATTCAAACACTGACCAATACAGCAAGCAAACTCAGCCTTACCTATTTGACTTGAACTTTCTTGGAGCCTTTCATTCATTACTGAAAGTTCCATGTGAAGTTGATTCAATCATACGTTCTTGACTGTGGTTTTATTTTCTTGTACCTATTGAATTTCAAATATAACTAGGGATAATTTGTCCATTTTGGAAAACTGAAATATTTTCAAAGGCGGAGAAAATGTTTAAAATAAGCTCGAAACCCCCCACCATGGACATACCAAAATGAAAAGAGTTAGGATGGAATAATTATTACCTGACACTCGCCATTTTCAGATATCCTTGCAAGTTCGAGCGACCAAATGTTCTTTTGATACTCAGCGCAGTTTTGCTTTAAAAATTCCAGCTCTAGTTTGTTTTTATCAATCTTGGCTCTGATCCTTAAATAGTTCACCAGTAGATCGTACAGTGGGTGCCTCACAATATGTCCACTTCGTAGTTCAGCATCGACAAACTCTGAAATGATTGCCTCATTCTGCTCCAGCTCTTTGTTCCGGTACAATGATGCCAACTGAGCAGGCGTAAAGGGTTCCATCTCATCTTTTTTGTGCAATAGACTAGAAAGTTCTGCTACAGAATCTACAGGACTTGTGCGAGAGTCTAGCGATAGACTCTTGGGTTGACTAGGAATGTGATTAGTGCATTCGATATCTGGAACCATACTTGGAGCTGATGGTGATGTAAATCCTATCTCGAGTTGATTCAAAGGATCAAGAAGAGTATCAACAGAAGAGTCCATTGGAACAAATTCGTTTCCATTCTCTGCAGAAGGCGCAATAGGGGTATCTACAACTGTAACATTCTTGTGATTTATTCCATCTACATCTTCAATTATATCAAAAATAGTGGCAGAAAAGCTACCAGGGTCCTCAGTCGATTTCTCCAGTGTGGGAGGTTGCGGAATTTTACTGTGCACTGCCTCGATTGAATCTGTAATGATATTATCACACATGTTCACATACATAAATTTGTCATTAACCATTTTTTTAGATGCATCTTGTACGCTTGTTTCATTTTCTATGTGAACAATTGTTTCATTAGGCTTATCATGATCTCCATCACAGCCCATGGCATCTGTTATCAGGCACTCGACTTCCGATTCCTTTTTCGTTTTTTTGCGGCGTTCTTTTTGGGCCATCATGGTTGGTTTGTTTCTGCACTGGTGATCTGATGACAGAAAAAACAGAGACAAAGAGGATAATTGGGACAATATACGAGAATAAAAATCTTACACAAAATAGTCCACACCTTTCCCTACCAGATAGCTTCATCTGAGATCAAGACATCTTCAGCCGAGTTTCTATAAACTTGGTATTTTTAGATACGATCTAAAGGAGCCTGATGCAAAGAGGGTGAAACACTCTGACATTTCTTTAAAATGTCAAGGAGGACCAATTGAATTTAGGGAAAGCTCAAAACTTTTGCACACCTCCAATACGATGTTAACCGTACATTACACTACATGCTGTAAAAAGTATAGCTGCATATGTAGTATAATTTAACATTTCTATTAAATCTCAGGATAAATTAGTTGGCATTTGTTTACTTCTGAGGGTCTTGCGGAGTAGACCGCTCTACAGATCTGCGCACAGCAGTGACATTGCCTGCTGTTGATCCTAAATCGCCACAGAACAACAGCAGCATGGTCATATGTTAAGATGATTCGATGGACGCCATATTTTGTGTCAGAACGACGTGCAATGTATCGCATCAATTAGTTGCATTTTTTTAGCTACTCGTCATTTTTCTCAAAGTTTGAGATCGCAATTCTGTTGTCAGAAGACTAAAGCACTCACTTACCAATTTTCACAAACAAATTCAACATAATAAAGACGTGGTTTTTATAGAGAAAAAACATTGCATTCGATACTGATATCAAAACAGCACTCGAATGCGATATTTTCTCTTTAAAAAAACCACGTCTTTACTACGTTGAGTTTCTGTGTTAGAATTGATAAGTGAGTGCTTTAGTCTCCTGACAACAGAATTGCGATCTCAAAATTGACGAGTAACTGAAAAAATGGAGCCAATTGATGCGATATACCGCATGCCGTTCTAACACAAAATATGGCGTCTATTGATTCACCTTAATGGAAAGTAACCAACTGCTAACTTATTTGACAGGAGCTCCAGTCACTTTTAAAACATCTCTGTTGGTCTTTAAACATCTCTAAGGTTGTCACAAGTTGTGACTAAAATTATTTCATAAAATGATTAAGTATGAGAATGAATAAGGATCCGTACATATTTAGGCTGAACTTGTAAGGATTTCACTTATAATTATCCTAAACACTGGATCAAAGAAATTTGAATGTATTTAGGATTGAGTTATCCCAAATGAGAGTCATTCATAAATGTTCAAACAGCCTGTTTTAAATAACTTAAATGCAACAAACTATAGCGACTTCTATTCTAACTTAACGAGTTTACATTAAGTACATGAGGAATAATTTAGTCGAATGTTGATGGACTTTATACCAAAAACAGCGTATGGATCCAACAAAAGGAAGGAACAGCAAACATCGTTACCTGATTTTAAAGTCTCCTGTGTTAGATCTGAAGATAAATGAGAGGAATCCGACTCTCCGTCACAGTTACAAGTTGACGGTACGCATGGCGAAGCCAATTCTGATCAACAACAGATAGCATGTTATAGGCTACATAAGACAATTAACTAACGATGTGAAAACACCTTCTGATAAAGTTTTCATTCAGTGCACTGATCTGATTCATTCTTTGTGGATAGAAACCAAAAACACAGGACAATAAACTTGGTGTCTGACTCAATGCTGATAAACGAATCAAAAACACTCAAAACGATTTTAAAGCAATGTCAGGAGTAACACAAGCAATAGTGAACAATTAACATACATAAAGCAGAGTGGAGAAAACAGAAAAATTTGCTAAGAAAGCAGAAACCTGAGAAGTTTCATTGAAATGAAAGATACATTACATTATTCATCGTGCACAAAACAAACAAATGTCAATGTGTGATTGTGTGAGTGAGAGAACAAAAACAAAATCAGCTGTCAACCAAGGCCGTTCTTACAGAGCGCGCGCGGGAAAATTCAAATCAACAAATCTTACGTCTTTTCGTTGATTTCGAAGCGCACGCACACCGCAAAAACCATCAGTGATTTTTTAACAAATTTTACAAGGCGGCATACGTTATTCTAACATCAAAGTCGTCATAAACATTGGCATCCCCCTTCCCCCCTTGGGTTAATGGTCACCCTCCGATTTGCTTATTACGGGTGTTTTACCATTCATTCGAGTTATCTTCCTTTTCAGTCATGAGGGGTGTGTACTAATAAAAAGAAGCAGCAAAGAGCAAAAAATATTTTAAAACAAATAATATTAATTTATTAAGATGGTAAAAATTCTCTCAGAGTCACAAATTATACGTGTGGAGGATGCGAATTTCTCTCACAGCTTGAGGCTGGACCGCGTAGCGACTGTGGGACGGACCCTCTGTTTCCTCCCACTCAATCTTTAAAAACAGTACATAGCAAAAATGCTTAGAAATTGAAGAAATTACAACTATGCAAAAAGCGGTTGGTTTGATTTTAAAAGAGTAGGTATTGGTTTACTATAGGAGCGAGAGAGCGGGGAGGTGAGTCAGCCTTAAAACGCCTTCAAATTAAAGCGCTGCAACCTCATGTACACGGAGTACTAATAATGTAAGTGCTGCTCACAGCTCACAGCCATAATAGGAATACTTGTGAAGGTATGCCTACGGAATTTAAGGCGCGCACATCGGCGACCGAAGACGGACGTGCTATTTACAGAGCAATCTTCAATCTTTAGTATGCGCTCATGATAAAGAGAAATCCGATCGAGTTCTTTTCACGAATTGTTGTGCCCATGTCGGCGGCGCGGCGCTGACAAGCGCCGCCTGATTCTTCTTGGCACGTGATTTCAGTTTCCCAAAAGCACGATACCTAATTGACAGTGAAACTAGAACATCGTGTACGTCGATAAATGCTGCGTCGCAGATTTTGCGTCATGTTTCACACATTAAAATAAAAATAAATTTTAAAAAAAAGCATTGTTTTAGTTTAAAATTTCACGCGATCTCTTCTTGCTGTTCCATCCATACTTTCTAAATATGTCGTGTAAAAAATAATATCGTAAAATAATGAATATTTTCTTGGAATATGAAATCAAATCAGATATTTTTAATCGCCAAAATCGAGATGTTTTAAAGGTTTTTCTAGTTTCACCGTCTACAGATAGTGCATTGACTTACAGGGTGCTAAATAAGTCCCCTCCTTCCTGCTAGCTTTTTATCTGACTGAGGTAAAGATTTGAAACTTGGGAGACGTACCCAGGTCAAAGAGAGTAACTTCTTGGTCCCTTTAAACTTTTCAGGAGGGGGGTAGTGGATCCTATCAATATCACCTAACTTTTCTAACGCCCTGTATGTATACCTAACCCATTTGAGAGCTCATCGCCCTTAAACACAAAAAGAAAAATGGGCGTGATTATACATCTTATCACTCCATATCCCTTTGCAGTGGTGAGTCGTGAGGCGTGAATGATCGAATATCGATATTTCCCCATTTGAAGCTGTGTTCAAGAATCGATTATTAAGGTGCTCGTTGCGCGAACACCCTGTTTATCGATTCTTTCCCATAGGTTTAAATGGCAGATCAATCCATTTATCGCAAAGCACGTCACGCCACTGCTCTTTATAGGTGTATCGATGGTGAAAGTCGAAACACATGCGTCTCGATTTTCGATGTTGCAGATCCTTTTTACTTTGTTTCAGATAGAAACCAATACTTAGACACTATTTCTCAGAATTGTCATAGATTTCTTCTCAATCCATGCAGAATTGTGCGTGAATTTAAGTCCAGATTCTGAAACGAAGCAATACTCGAAATGTGTGTTTTCCGGCTTTCGCCATGGATATTATTATAGGTACTCAAAGAAAAGATAAAGAAAAAGACGGTTGAGTCAAAATCGAGTTTTTTTTTTTCAATTTATAATAATAATTGCTCTCTTTTCTAAAAATCGAGTTCAACGCTTCAAAATTACACGTTGAGGCAGTGGCTTAAAGATAAGGCCTGGAGAGTCCACAGTGAGTACGGACTCACGCCCGTAATATCACCTCCAATGAAGAACAGATGGATAAAAATGAATATAAAGGAAAGTAATAACAATTCTCTATCATTGAGAACCAGTGGCAGCAGGAAAAATTCCGTGGTAAACCCCACTTACACGAAGAGCAAAAAAAGAAAAAGGCGTCACGGACACATTAATAGTGGCTAAAACCATTTTCTGGCCCGCCGCAATGAGTGAGTACACACGGTAAAATTGCAACGTCTTTAGCTTGTAGATCGAGTCGGTCGGTAATGTCAAGTAAAGTAAAGCTAGATCAATAAAAATTAACTTAAAATTTGAAAGCTTCCCGTTTTGAAAATCGTGAATGCAACACATGGACCGCGTTAAGCAGACAGGAACCAAGCCACGTCAGCTATTGCCAAATTTAATCGGGCGTTTTAATGTTTTACATGAAAACGGTTTTTGCGGATTTTTGTGCAAATTTCAGTGAATTTTCTGCATAGCAAAAGCATTTTAGCATTTCAACACTTTCCGCATTATCATTTAGAGCGAATTCCTTAAACTTTTCGAAGAAATCCGCACAAACGTTCTCTTAGAAAAAATTAAATTGCCCAATGCGATTTGGCAATAGCTGATATGGCTTGGTTCCTTCCTGTCCAACGCGATCCATCTATAATATGTAAGTACAGGGCCGGATTAAGGGGGTGGCCACATGAGCCGCGGCCCATATTGCGGCAAATTTTGCAATTTTTTAAACGCAGGTATAAAGAAAATCGGATTCAGGAAAAAAAATTATCCGTTAGAAAAGGAAACAAAATCTCTTTTTCCTCATGAGAGTATAGTAATTTCTAATTTTGTCGTTTTTCGGTGATGCAAGAGACAGCATCTTTAATTAGTCGAGTGAAGAGAGGAATTAAACACGCAATTTTGCCTGGAGCTCAGCGCAGAGAGGAATGATGACGAGGACTTGAGATGAAAAGGACAAACCCTCGGCGCGGCGATCGGCATGTAACACATATCAGCGCCTACAAGACTGCATGAATACTTCACCCATTGCGCCAAACACAGTGCGGTCACGCGGGCGGTCAGGAGCGGTTGGTGTGAAACGCATAGCGCCTACAAGACTGCAGGAATACTTCACGCATTGCGCCAAACTTAATGCGATCAGCGCGACGCGGCGCAGCGGTGGAAGTAAAAATTATTAAACCACATTTATGTTTGTTCTTGCATGATTTTTTGGTTAATTTCTTATAAATGGAGGATCTTGTCCACACAGAGATAGGTTTACGGAACTAAACTTTTGCGTCAAGTTCCGTGAAATTTTGCTAGTAGCGTTGACAGGGCTTTCGCAAAAAAATGTATCCATCATAAGTAGGTAAACGCGTCTTATGCACCACTCCCCCTCCGGCACGTTCACTTGATGGTTTTTATTGATGTTTCAAAACGATTTAGAAGGAGGCGGCAAGTAGGTGAATCCGGCCCAGTGTGGGTATGCGAAAATTTTATTTTCCAAGAACTCAATTGTTATCTGTTTTCAGTGCTCGTTCACCAGGCAACGGATAGTGCTAACCTTTGTGCCAGCGTAGCCTGTGGCCCAGAGGTCAAGCAACCTGAGGATGAGGATATAAGGTGAATCCTGAAAGTAAAGGGCAGTAAAATTGAGACATTTTTATGGATAATCAGGCTAAAATAGCTATGGATAAAATAGCTTTGGGATCACATTAAAACAAATCTGAGACACATGCAATTTTTACAGGTTTCAGGAAGAGAGCTATAATAGGGCCTCCAAACCATTCAGCGATGGGCGGGGGAGGGGAATGGCTTTGAAGGCAAAACTCCTACATAGCTGCAGTTATGACACTTTTCAGAAGTGCGTAGAGAACGGCTAGCATGGTTATCCGCTGTTTATCCGTGGATAGAACCCAGTTGACGAGGGAGGAGAGGACGAGAAAATAATTTCCTTGGGGCGCCGAACAATCAAAATCAGACCCTCCAGATGTCTATGAAATGCTTAGCCATCATGGTTGAGTCTTTTAATCAAAATGCAACACTATCATGATGGAATACATGGGTGTCGCTCATTCAGCACCCTGTTGATTTTGAGCAGCAACTATTCGAACACGGCCGTCGCCGGATTGCATCACCCATTCTTTGAAGGCAAACTATGCACCCTTCATCTATTTTGATTGATTGACGTCGGCTAAAAATGCCTGTGCACTGTCAAAAATAACGCAGCTTTGCATTTATTTGGCACGTTTGTTTTCTAATGTGTGCTGTGTTTCCAAAAACACACATGTGTGTTTAGTTAACACGCTGTTGTCTTATTTATCCTTTTAAGTATGGGGCCGGAACACAACGATGTGTTGCCAGTGACACATCATTTTGTATCGTAAAACGCAAGGTTCAAATAAACGCATCGCTGTGTCCAATTTCTTTTAACAGGACGCAGTCCGAAAATAGTCAGCTAATAGGTAACAAAACGAGCAATATCACTGGTATTTTTTTTGCGGTACTTTGCTTGCCGCCGTGGTCGGTTGATTTTTTCCGCCACCGAAGGAGCCTACAATTGTTTGAGTTAATTGACGAATAACACGCACAACTAAATAAAACAAGATGGACCAAAACGCGATCACATCGAGAAGTAGATATTTGTAGAGCGGTAACTTGGCTGAGGCTGGCTTTAGATGGTGGGCTCCTTTGTGTCGGATGACGTACTCAATCCAGAAAACTGCCCTTTCCAGACTAGTTTGTGGTTCATCTTTGAATATCTTCGCCTGCAGCTTGGCGTTTTCGGCAAATCTGAGGAGACAAAAAAAACACGTGAAATGGACAAAAAGGTACGAATGCTGCTTATTTTTAGAGAATTTTTTTCAATCTACGCTCTTTGGCTCCTGCAAACACTTAAATGCGCATGATCAAGTGGGTTTGGGAAAATTGAAATAAATTTTTCTTGACTGAACAACGAAACTTAATAAACAAAAGTCAAGAATCTCTCGGTGTATCGATGGCTAAAATCCGAAAATGCGCATCTCTATTAGCGATGTCTCAAAATATCTGACTATGCTTTGATTTTTGTAAAATTAATCAAACAAAAATATCTACTTAATATGCATTGTGAATATATTTGAATGAAAGCCAGAAATACGCATATAAGGCTGTCTTTGGTCAACCATTTGTATCGAGAAGGGGGGGCGTACCCAAAGTTAAATTATTTCCAAAGATAGCAAAAAATGAATTTTTTCAGTGATAATTTAGAGTTTTGAGGATGCTCAACCCCTGGGGTCACCCTTTCTCCTCCGCGTCCGCCACCGTTTACGTAGGGGAGATTTAGCTTCGCAGTGTGCGTGTATGCGAACATTTCAAGGGCGAATAGAATTTTAAAAAAAGAAAGAGACTAGTTGACGTGTTTGATTTCTTGTGAAGGCGCATACTTTCCGCTTAGTCACCGATGGCGAAAAATAGCGCCTCTCCCGATATTCACCAAACCATTGCGTCAAAATCGACTTAACATGTGGCAAAATGTGGCGTGCGCGCGCCGCGCCGCCGTACTCGTAGTATGTACTGTTATTATGCTGGTTGGCTCGCCGACATTACTCACGCTTATTAAACAAGCCGACACATCACGCCAGTCTGTGACGCCGAAGATAACGAGCACAATTTATCATTCTTTATTCAATTTCTTCTGCGATTTAATTTGTCTTTTGGACTATCTCCCCCCCTCCCTTCTTCACTCCTTGCTCAAAATTTCACCTGTTTGCGCTATTATTGAGTCATTTTACTTTTTCAGTAGGTTCAGAGCATCACGCAGTCAGGATGGCCGAGCGGTCCAAGGCGCTGCGTTCAGGTCGCAGTCCACTTCTGTGGGCGTGGGTTCGAATCCCACTTCTGACAAAGAGTTTTTGTGCAACTCGTCCCTAGGAATAGGAAGTCACTAGATTCCTGAGCATCAGGCTATATACAATGGCGCATAGCTTTTACATTAATTTTTACGGCATTCGAAAATTCGCACCGGGGAAAAGTTGTCTTGTTTAAGTGAGACGACCGAGACTTAATTTTTCAAAAAGTTAGCTCGATGTCGCGGGCGAAGCGCACCTTGGTGTTCGGTGGAGCTGCTTTGACTTTCAATCCCTCTTAAATGAAAATTCGAGTCCAGATATAATGAGAAAAATGGGGGGTTTGCTCCGCGAGCGGTTCACAGAAAAGAAATTTTCGGGCTGTATAGACAAACTGTCCGTTCCGGGCTCAGAGGCCGAAAGTTCCGGGTGCTAGAGCCGCAGCTTCAATCGCGCCGGGTGCTAAACCCGGAACTTTTGGCCTCTGAGCCCGGAACGCGGACGGTATGTCTATATAGCCCGTAAGTACGGCTTCCTTACTGATTATGACGTAAATAGTCCTATGACGTACTGGATTATCCATTAAAAACTCTAGATCATGTACACTCCGTTAAAACAGCAGCCCGCGGTTCTCCGATTTTCCGTATTAAGGGAGGTCAGTGGCGTGGCGTGGCGTACTTTGCGATATATCGATGAGTCTGCCATTTAAACCTATGAGGAAGGATCGGTAATCAGGGTATTCGCAACGAACACCATAATAATCGATTCTTGACCATAGCTTCAAATGGGGAAATATCGATGATCGATCATTCAACAAACTTACGAGGGTGTGTAGATTATCCGCTCGATCTTCTCTTTGAGGTACGGGGCGCTAAGTGAGTTCAAATCCGCCTCGAGACCAACTCCTCTATGTTCGTAAAAGGCAACGTTGTAGAACTGATCACCGAAAAACGGAATCCCAAGGACCGGTTTCCCAATGCTCATCGCCTCGACTAAACTATTGAAACCTCCGTGAGTGATGAACAACTTGCAATTCGGGTGAGCTGAAAAAATGGAATATTGATAAGTTTTCAGACAGTGATGTTTGAATCTAAAATTTTGATTCACGATAATGCGAAAGTTTATTGTCCTATTTCATTTGTAAGAAAAATCTCAAGCATTTTGTTTTATTGAGATTCCATGGGATAGTTCTAGCCACTCCATTCAATAAAAACATTCATAAATGACTTTTGTCTGTTGTGTGGAAAATCACTAAAATTAGATTTGACGGGAAGTTTGAAAAAATTAAACATGTTTGACGGTTCGGGTTTACTGAGTATTGCTTGATCAGGGCAATCCATGCTGAAAAATCAATCAAACAGAAAAATGGTGTTCTGGGCTGGAGTCTAGGTACTGGATGGATTTACGATCGGACTGACTTTTTTTTTTTTATTATTATTATTATTATTAAAACGAAAAAGTTTCGTTGGTGAAAGTCTGTTGGAGTCCGAACAATTTTTTGGGGAACAAGTTGAAAAAATTTCCAATGAAAATTGGACTGCATTTTGCAATTTGGAACTATAAAATCTGGCCCAGTTTAAAGGCAACGTATGTGCCATTAGGTTGCCTATGCACGTAAGTGTTTTTTCAGATGAGCCGGAGTTTATAGTTCCAAATTGCAAAATGCAGTCCAATTGAATCGGCTCGTGCGAAAACCGCTAATGTCCATTTTCTCTAATTTTGAGAGAACTGCAAAAAACTGTAGGAGCCTTTAAAATGCGGAATTAAAAAATGTTCGGAAGTTAATTATTACAGGAGAGGATTGTAGAAAAGGATCCCTAACAGTTTCCAGCTCCTCTTCTGTCTGGGACGGAATTATTAAAAAGAAAAGACTTTGGACATTAGCGGTTTTCGCATGATTCGTGAAAATCTCCGAGTTTAGGAACCGTTTGATACTTTCAAAATTCATTCTAAAGATATTAAAACGATAGATTATCATTCAAATAAAGTTGTAAAACTAAAATTCTTGACAATTGCGGCACTTAAAGCAAGTTTCATCACGAAACGACCAGCAATAAACTGGACATTAGCGGTTTTCGCATGATTCGTGCATGGTCGGTTCTAAATCATCGAAAACGCATATTTTTCAGTATGCCTTCCGAGTAAAAAAAGTTACCCTTACGTATTTTGATGCGCTGAATCCGATTAGGACCTCCGTTCTTCCCCATTATCCTCAAATTTTCCGGAAAAGCCGATTTTACTAGGAAAAATGACCATTTTAGGGCATTTTCGGTGTTTTTCCGACAGCTATCCCCTGCATAATGTAGGTGAAATTTTTCGTAACTACGAGATTCAATTGTACCGATGTCTTTTTAACTGATGAGTCCGGAAATGACCTTAATTTTTCCTATTCACCTCTCAGTTTTCCGGGAAAGCAACTTTATCCCGGGAAAATGAGCAAATCCGACGCATATTTGTCGTGCATGCAATGTATTTTTATAAATTTTCCTGGACCCGTGGTAGCATGTTACTCATGTATTTTGAGCTGCTAAATCCGAATATGACCTCGGTTTCTTTCTATCACGCTTCAGATTTCCGGTAAAGCCGAGTTTTCCGAGCCTAAAATTGTGTATTGTAAAACCTTTGCCGGATCAAAGTATATTCAAAATTCATTGTATAAATGTCTCTGATATGTGAAACATTGGTTCCTTTGTATTTTGATCTGTTGAATTCAAATATGATCTCAGATTTTTCCGATCACCCATCATTTTTCCGGAAAAGTCGCTTTTCCTAGGAAAACGCTCTTTTCAGATATTTTTGCGATGATTTTTGTGCTCGAAGGAGTTTCAGAAATTCTCCAGTAGGTTATAACGAATTTCTAAGGTCATATTCGGGGTTTTCAGCCCAAATTATATGAGAATCGATGTATCACACATACGGAAAATGTTTTGAATTTCCCTAGAAGTGGAAACAGTCCGGAAAAGCTTTAGGCCCGAAAAAATCGGCCTTTCTAGAAGATGGGGGGTTGTCAAAGATGAGTGAGGGTCAAATTCAAGTTCAGTGCCTCTTAATACAGCAAGAGAGACCTAAAGAGGATCTCGGAAAATTTCTGAAACTCCCTAGAGCAGAAAAATCATTGCAAAAATATCTGAAAAGAGCGTTTTCCTAGGAAAAGCGACTTTTCCGGAAAAATGATGGGTGATCGGAAAAATCTGAGATCATACTTGAATTCAACAGATCAAAATACAAAGGAACCGATGTATCACATGTCGGAGACATTCATACAATAAATTTTGAATACACTTCGATCCGGCAAAGGTTTTACAATACACAATTTTAGGCTCGGAAAACTCGGCTTTACCGGAAATCTGAAGTGTGATAGATAGAAACCGAGGTCATATTCAGATTTAGCAGCTCAAAATACATGAGTAACATGCTACCACGGGTCCAGGAAAATTTATAAAAATACATTGCATGCACGACAAATATGCGTCGGATTTGCTCATTTTCCCGGGATAAAGTTGCTTTCCCGGAAAACTGAGAGGTGAACGGGAAAAATTAAGGTCATTTCCGGACTCATCAGTTAAAAAGACATCGGTACAATTGAATCTCGTAGTTACGAAAAATTTCACCTACATTATGCAGGGGATAGCAGTCGGAAAAACACTGAAAATGCCCTAAAATGGTCATTTTTCCTAGTAAAATCGGCTTTTCCGGAAAATTTGAGGATTATGGGGAAAAACGGAGGTCCTAATCGGATTCAGCGCCTTAAAATGTATCAAGATCACCTAATTTTGTCCACGAGACATTTTTTCTATATTGGTTTGTTGTACAGTATAATGAGGCATATAACGAAAGATGAACATTAGCGGTTTTCGCATGATTCGGACCACGGCCCCCCCTGAAAAGAGGTTCAAATCTAAGGAACAAACATTTTCACCACATTAATGAGTGTGTCTAACCTCCGAGAGTATTTTAACCCAAAAATCTCAAAATTGAAAAAAATGGACATTAGCGGTTTTCGCACGAGCCGATTCAATTAGTAACGGGACAATGCTTTAATTACCTAATTAAAGCATTAATTTTTAATACTGAGGCCACCCCAACGAAAAAAAAAGTGCGGATATCTAGCAGACTTCTGATATTATGTATTAATCCCCAGGAAAATCTAGTATGACCCATTTTAGATTTCCGGTCAAATCGACTCATTATTACGACAGGAGTGAGGAAGTACTAGTGGCAGTGGGGTCCCGGGTCCCACTATATTCACTCCCCTATCCACTGAACGAGCAAAAATGAAAGGTGTCTGGTAGCCTTCACTGAGCATTGTTACTAGCACAACTAAAATTTTATTTTATTTTAATTTTTGTAATGCTTACTCAAAATCTCTACTTGAGGTAACCAGGTGCTGGTTAAAACATTTGGGGCGTCAGGTATTTCTTCATGCCACTTCCAGATGACCCGTTGTTTCAGGCTCTTCAGTGTCTCCACGAAAATATTCCTGTAGTAATCGGGAAATGTTTTAACGTCAATGAACGATCCAAAACTGAAATAAATTACACCTTCCGTAGCTTCATCCATGAACTTTTGCAGGTCCTATTCGCAAAAAATAACAAAAATACGTGACTATCGATGTGCAAGATTTTTAAAATTTTAATTTCTAACAGTTGAATCTGATAACCTTAAGAGCAGTATCTACTGAGGTAAGTAATATATTTTGATGGCTAATTAGCGCAACCATACGTATCTCCATTGCGGTGTTTCGAAATGTCTGTTTCAATTTTATTTTTTCGAAAGAGAACGAGCCAAATTCACAATTTTAAATTTATGCAGAATCTTCCGCTAAGAGACAGGGAAAAATCAAGGAAGTTTTTAAATAAATTAAGTTAACAAGCACTCCAATGATAAAATAAAGTATGAGTGGAAGTCTGCAACGTCCAGGGCCGGATTAAGGGAGTGGACACATGGGCCGCGGCCCATGGCGGCAAATCTAAGGGGTGGCAAAAATTTGCAATTTTTTTAAGTGTATGTATAAAAAAAAATCGGATTTAGACAAAAAAATTACAAACGAGAAAAGGCGACAACATCTCTCATTTACTGAGAGTATAGTAATTTCTAATTTTATCGTCTCTTAGTGATACAAAAAACAATACCTTCAATTAGTCGAGTTAAGAGAGAAACCAAACACGCAATTTGGCCTGGAACGGCGCGACATAGAGAGAAATGATAACGAGGACTTGAGATGAAAAGGAGAAGCCCTCGGCGATCGGCATGTAACACATATTAGCGCCTACAAGACTAAACGAATACTTCTCGCATTGCATCAAACACATTGCGGTCATTGCGGTCAGCGTGAAACGCATAGCGCCTACAAGACTGCGTGAATACTTCACACATTGCGCCTAACGTGGAAGGCCTTGTCCACACAGAGATAGGTTTACGCAACTTAACTTTCGCGCAAGGTTCCGTGAACTTTTGCTAGTGGTGTTGACAGGGCTTACCCAAAAAATGTGTTCAACACGAGTAAATGCGTCTTATGCAACCCCCCCCCCCACCGCCGGCACGCTCACTTGATGGTTTTTATCGAGTTTCAAAACGAATGAAAAGGGGGCGGCAAAATACAGGCGGCCCATGGGCGGCGAGTAGGTGAATCCGGCCCTGGCAACGTCGCAAATGAGTTACATGATTTCGCACTTAGGCCAGTGATATACATTAGAATGCCTGTTTTATGAAGCGTCTTCCATAGAACCGAATAATTTGCACGAGCCTTGAATTTTTTAGAAAACCTCTACCATGTCAACCCGAAAAATTAGACGAATTCACCCTCCTATGTGTGGAAATTTAAAACAACTTCAATTACATTAGTGATGAGGAACAGCCAATTTACTCTTCAGAACTATTTTGGTTAAACTTCATCTGTGAGCTGACTTATTCCGTAACATGATTGACCAATTCATGAACTGGTCCAAGAGTGAAATGAGTTAAAAATTGATTAGTTAGTAAAATGAGGCGATAGATAAACTTTCAGTGTTGATTTGAAATCTAGCAGCAGCAGCCTCATAGCGGGCACTGCCATGTCGCGCCGCTGCACCGCGCCGTTGCAGGATCCTCGAGCAACTATTTTAACCTCGAGGGGATCGAATTGCATATTCGACGAAAGGAGGTGCTAGTGAACCGGGCGACCCCCAACGAGCCAATGTAACTGAAGTCTTTGTCGAGCGTCTCAACTTCGAGCAGATGTTTGAACTTTCTGGCTACTCATGACACTCTTCCGACAGTTGTCCTGATTCAGATATTTTGCCTAACGATAACTTTGTATCGCATGATTCTGATCTCTAAAAATAACACTACAATAGATCCCTAGATCCCACAAATTCTGTATGTTTTTTTAAGAAAAACGATTCAACAGATTGAAACACGAATGTTTTGTAACTGGGCATTATCCTCAAATTCTGTGTGATATGATCTCTCTTTCTTTTAACAAATATTCAGAGCAGCATCATTTCAGAGCGGAAAGAGTCGTCCGATTGTCCATATCTACAAAAATATGCGTAACATTTTCTCACTGATGCAACTGATTCATTAGCTAATCTGGCAATACAACCTCGTCAGTTTCCTGTTATCGCACAGATTAGTTATCAAATGTCACCATTCAATCTCTATCAACATTTGCCAGAATGAATGAAAGTTGAGAGAGAAAATATCAGCTCGACACGCTACTTAATTAAGTAGGCATAGCAGCCACATTTCATGAGCTGTGAGCTGTGCTTATGGCCATTCTGATACTGTGACCATAACCGTAGTCATGGCTTTTAACCTGCTTCAGTCCAGTGGACCGATTATTAAGACTATGGCAGCACAATACAAAGACCAAGCCCAGCAAGCCCTATCTTCACTATGAATTTTCTCGTCGTGCTGACATAAAATCTCAGTAAACAATTATCCCGCAGGAACAACCCGCGGTTGTTTTTCTAGCCCAATTTTATGGAACGTATATTTTAAAATCATTTCATGCCTCAGTCAATCACTCTGATGAATGGATGAAAAATCCCGTACTTGACTCGACTTATACTGCCGTGCTAAGGTAAAACGCCGGATGAACCCTCAAGCGTTGCAAAAATTTCCTTTGATAAAACACGATTTTATTTGTAAATATTTTTCTCACAATGTTTCACACATTTTTTTTTGCAATTTAATAAGAAAAAAAATCTGAAAATTTCATGGAAAGATATGCATTACTTTCTTTCCAAATTCGTTTTTTATCAGGGAAAAGGCGGCAACATTCGAATGTTCACAAGAGTTTTTCCCTAGCAAAGCAGTATGTGGGAGTAGCGGACCAGCCCACGTGGATCTTCCATGTTGCTCTCCTCCTCCTCCGATACGAAAATAAAAGCTCAGCCTGAGTTGAACGACATTTTGTAAATTAGGAATTAAAATTTCAGGCTCATCTAAGAAAGCACCTACCTCCATACAGAAACTTATGACACATATGCTGTTTCTAAATGTAGTCAGAAATTATAGCTCCTAATTGCAAAATATGAGATCCAGTCATAGCTTGACCTGAATTACTTAGTGTGAAATGAGAATTGGACTGCATTTTGCAATTTGGAACTATAAATTCTGGCTCTTCTGGAAAAACACTTATGTACACAGGGAAATTAATGGCACATACGTTGTTTTTAATGCGGGCTAGAATCTATAGGTCCAAATTGCAAAACGTAGTCCAATTTCTGTCAAGTTTTTACTCTTAAAGCATGATACATACCTGAGGCAACTTGCCGGCCGGTTTGATATGCGCGCCGGCCACATTTATAACATTCGAGCTGTACGGCCGAATATATCCGATCATCGAATGCGCATCGATCAGATGCAATGAGACATCCGAGAACATTTCTTTAATGGACGGTATGGTCTCCGAGCCTGGATACTTGAAATATTTCCTCAACATCGGTTCCTGGACGAACGGAAGGTACCAGAAATTCGCACCAATCAACTCGTAGAGCCCGATGAGGGTGTTCGTAGTTCTTCCCCATATGGACATTTGGTCCGTCAACGGCAGGCGGAAGTCAGGGACGTAGGAGAAGGGGTGCGGGAGTCCTGTCAGCAAGGCCATTTGAGGACCGACCAGGATGGGGTGGAGGTTGACGACGGGAGCTTTGAACTTGTGGCCGAAAGCGAGGAGGCACTCCTGTCCGAAGGTGGATTCCACGATGACGAGATCGAACTTTTCCGAGGACTGCATGAGGTCTTGCAGCTCGCGGCTTTGAAGGACGCCGTCCGTTAGGGTCGGGATCAGGGTCCACAGGACGTGGACGTATTTGAGCGCACTGCTGTTCCTCCATGAGAGAAAGTCGAATTCTGCCCCAAACATAAAGACCATGGTAAAATTTTCAGATTTTGCACGAAAAAATATTAATGCTTCATATGAGCGTATTTATTGAGCTGAGTTTGCAGCATTTTTCATAATTTTTTCTTAAATGAGAAATTGTAGGAAAATAGATTTGAAAGTGAGAAAATTGTACCTACCGCCTTGTGACGTCATCTGGCGGAATTTCTCATTTAAACGGCAATTTTGCATTTTAGCAGATTCGATTCTTTTGTCATATTTCCTCTATTAATGGGCCGGTTGCGCTGATCACAGAATCGTAATATGATGCTTTATTCTTGGAGATCAACTAAAAATAATTTTCTACGATGAATATCAACCGAGATATCGCGCCTTAAAAACTTGTTTTATGACGTCATCCACCGCGGTAGTACATGCCATGTTATGCACTACCACGGTGGATAACGTCAAGAACCCGACTTCTTAAAGGACGATATCTCGAGAGGTTAATATTCAACGTAGAAAATTGCTGTTTGGATAGATCTTCTTATTGTTAGCTAATCTACAATAATCAAGCATCAAAACACGATTCTGTTACCAGCGCAACTGGTCCATTGTTCAATTTCGTAGAAACCAAGAATATTCTGCTCAGTATTCTCACAGTAATTTCATCTTAATAAACGTAAAATTCACAAAATTTCAGAAATCTGCAAATTCTCTATTGAGGGGTCTGGACTGTCTGGAGAATAAGGCCCCAAATAGCACATTGCATTGAAAATATGGAAATGAAATTGCGATTATCGCAGTGAAGTTGCAATTTTCTTACCATGAGATTGCAGTATTTTTACATCATTTGGTCAATAAGTGCCGTTTTAGGAAAATCAACAAAATGTAGAAAGATATTAGATTTGCAATGCATTGAACAATAATTGGAAATTAGTTCGATTTCATACCAATACATTTCAGTTAGAAGTGTTCCTTCAATCAGTAGATAGGCAACATACACAACACTCTGATGCAGAACCAATTATTTTACCACGTAATTGCAATTTATTGCGATCTGTGACTTGGGCTCAAAAGTACTGTTCTTTCTTTTTCTGTAAGCGTTTAAAGTTTCAAAGGCACGCACCTTATGGCGCATTTCGCGAATGCATCACTCCTCTGGAGTAAGGGCGTACTTCAATTTCTACGTGAGCTCTGCTCACCGTGTGTATGCGAAAAGATAGTTTTTTTTTTTTTCGTTCTGTTCTTAAGTAATAAAAGCTGTCTCTTTTCATTCTGTGTGTAAGTGATAAGAATCTACACGGAGAAAAAACCGCGGTTATTCTATACGGTTACCACGGTTATAATGTCACACGGGATTCCGCGTTAGTAGAGTCGTGGGTCTTAATGACTGTAATGACAAGCACGATGATGCCACCGTGTCCACCGTGATATTACTGTGAGCACAATGATTCTACTACGAGCATGGTTATTTTACTATAATGCTCATCAATATTTTTACCAAAGTCCACGATTCTACTACCGTGGAATCCCTTGTGACATTACAACCGCTTAACCGTTGAATAACCGTGTTTTTTTTTGGTGTATGCACCCATTGTTTTGCCGGTAAAAAAAAACACCGCAAGGAGGGCCTTGGCACCCCATGGGGATTGGGTTGGGCCGCGTAATAGGGGGCGTACCCCATAATTTAAGATCATATCTGTGCGCTTACGTGTTATCTGAAGACCCTTAGGAGGAACTGCTATTTCCTTGAGATTAGGGATTGGTTTCTGCTTGACGAACTTTGGTGCGACGTATGCAGTGATTTGATGGCCATTGCTCGCTAATTTGTCGATTATTGGACTGAAAGCTCTGTAGTGACTGGGCAGCTGATGCGGGAACAGGAACAGGATTTTCGCACAAAGCGCACATTGCAAACAACATAGAAATAGTAGAGCCTTACAAACGTATTTGATCACTTTCCTGTCAGCCATGAGTAGCACCTCGGTTCATGAAATAGCAGAGGGCTGTGAGGAGAAGAGACTGGTGCCTGCACATAAAAATGGGTGCCATAAAAATTTTAGACCAAAACCAGATTTTGAAATTTTTAGACCTCATCGTCAAAATACATAATGCACAATTCTCTGCAGCTTACCTGTCTCTTAGCATAACTCTCTCGGCACTAAGCGACGAAAATATTGAAATAATTTTGCAATTTAATGTAATGAAATTTTATTTTTTTACCATTAAATTTCAATATTTTTACATCATTCGGTCATTAAATGCCCATTTTAAACGGCCAATAAAATACGTCTCATTACGGAGAAAGGCGTGAAATTTGCAGTGCAGAAAATATTGCATCTTATGTCAACCTTATCGCAACAAATTTTAATAGGAGGATCGATCAGTGAATAGACAACATAACAACACTCCACCACAATTGCAATATTTTCCCCATGTAATTTCAATTAATTGCAATCTTTGCTACTTGGTTCGATCTAAACTGGGCGATTGGCGCTTTTCAGTTCATACCGCCTCCGATCTACTGTTTTATCGCTCAAAATGCGATGGTAAGAATTATTCCAGTTTCAAAAAAAGTATTTTTTCAGTTTTTTTTTTTTTTTTTTAAAAAAAAAAATGCCGCGATACGTTGACTTTAATTTCGAAGGTCTGAGCCTCTGATTATTAATAAAGAAAAATTAATGAAAACTATCCAACGCTGAAGGGATACCTGGCTGATTGACCCAAGGAGTTTTTTCCAGTTAAAAATCAGAAGTGACAATCGTATAAAAGTTCCTAAAGCAATAAAATTTAGACGGAAAAGTCAGCCGATGATTAGATTCATCATGAACTGTAGTTATTATCCAATCAGATAGGATGATGAAGCTGTATTGAGCTGTGAGTACTGCACAGATTGTGATGGACGTCCGCGAGTGGATGTTTACGAACTTTAAAGTGGACGCTTGTCGGTGTTAGATGTTATTTAAAGTACATCACTGCTACACAGAGCTCGTTTTTTTCAAATTCAAATAAGTCTAGGTCGGATATTTTTATGAATTTCTGCGATAAAGTATGTTTTCTTGCAACTCTATACAGTCGTTGATATGAGGGAGTGATATGTAATATGTTTATTACAATGATAGGATTTATCTCTATCTATCAATGCATATATGTCGCAGGCAAATAGTACCCTGGTAAAAATTGGCGATAGGAGCTGCGTTTCAAAATACCATAGGAGTTCTTATAGCCGACTAAAGAAGGCTATTGAAAATCATATAGCTGGCTGTAGAAAGCGGAACGAATTATATAGCCGGGCTATACGAGGCTATAAAAAAGTATACAGTCGGGCTATAGTTCCTATCGCCGGGCTTTACCCTTTATCGCCATTGGCTATAAAAGGCAATAAGAAATTGTGTAGAAATTCGTTTGCTTTGGAAATCATTAAGTTTGATACGGAACTACCTTAATATTTACAGAACACACATTATATTTTCCTTTAAAACATATTTTTTTTTCATCAATTAAAATGAGAATAGTCCATACAGAGTGTGCAAACATTTCAAAATCATGAGTTGAAAAACGCTGACTCCTCGAGATTAAATATTAGAGCCTAACACAAAGCGGAGCGGCGACGCACTGACGCCTACAAACCTAACAGGGATACTTCACGCATTGCGCAATGCGTGAAGTATCCCTGTTAGGTTTGTAGGCGCCAATGCGCGCTTCGAGCTCCCTGCCCGCCCGTCGCGCCGCAGCGTGCCACGGCGTCTGAAGCAACTATTTCACACCAGAGGTATTGCACAGTATCATAAGAAATTGAAGGCGCTCCAACATATTTAGAATGACGGTCATCCTTCAAATGTACGGAGCTTTCCTCGCAAAATAAATCAAGATACTACGGCACTAAAAGAGAGCGGTAGTCCAAAAACTAACTATGTCCTGGTATCCGTATTTAGTAACGTTTTAGCATAAACTTTATCATCTGGCTGTTGCTTAATCGTCATCGGCTATAAAAGGCTATAAGAAATTGTACAGCCGGCTACAGAAGCTATCGGAAATCTTACAGCCGGCTTTAGGTCTATAGTATTTTGGAACACACATTCTACTGCCAATTTTTACCAGGGAAATCAGGCATTTTGTCAAATGCCTAGGCAAATAGTAAAATACTCTAACTTAGATTGAAGTGCTTAATATTTTCCTAATTTTAGACAAAATAATTAATTGCTCCTGTAAAAAACAATTTTCGGTGAGCATTTGCATCACACAATAGTATTTTAAACGATTTTTAGCTCCTGAACAGACACTCGTCTTGAAATTTTTAGCAGGTCATAAAATACAGAATTTTTAGAATGTGAACATATAAAAATATGAGAAGGAATTGAAGAGGTAAAGACAAAAAGAGTTCGTAGGTTTCATGAGTTATTCTTCCAAAAATATTGAAAACTCGCGAGCTCTTTGCCAAAAATTCACAAAATTGTGTAAACCGTCAAAATTTAACAATCTACCTAGGCATTTGACAAAGTGCCTGATTTCACTATTTGCCTGCGACATATACGTTCGTTCATAGGCGGTTCTAGACCTTCATGCTTGGGAGTGCCCAGAGGTGGAAAATGTCAGAGACCGGCCCCGAAGGAGACGGTCGCTTAGGGGAGGCCTAAGTTTCGGCCCTCAAGTTTTATCCCTTTCCTACCTTCCTTTCTCTTTTTCTCTCCTTATTCCTTTCTACTTAAATACGTATAAATTCAATGTAGACAATTTTTAGCAAAACTTTCCATCAAAACTACAATCTTACCATAAAAAAAACAGTAGAGTCTTTGTAATACAAGGCTATCAATATTAATTCTGTTCAAAACATTTTCAATTAATTGCTGGGATTTTTTTTCAAGCGAATACAGAATCTTTAAAATCAGTAATTTCACGGTTCCGATAACCGTACTTAATTTTTGCTTGGGGGTGCCCGGCACCCACTGGCACCCCCGTAGAACCGCCTATGCGTTCGTTAGCAGATATTTCAGGGCGTGAAGCACAGTTGAGACGCTGGGTGCCTAAGAGATATTTCTCAGTTATGGTGTTTTTGAGTCTCCGGACTCCTAATTTCGTCACTCCTCTAAAATTAGACATTATCTGTATTTCTGCATGAGTCACGGAAAGCATGGAATTATACGGAGAACAGAGCTCATGTGTGAAATACATTCCTTTAAGTGATGAATTGAATATCGGCGGAGATTGTGGAACACCGCAACTGAAATGTGCTTTCCTCACACCCAACACCCCAGTTTCAGAAAAGAAAAAAATATAAACACACATACATATATAAAGATACAAATAAGATTTAAATTAAGTTTATCCGAAATTTAGAAATTCTTTGATTGACTCGCACTACTCCCCTTTTTAAGAGCTGATGCAAAAAAATTGGCATTACAATTGGACATATTTCTATCAAACGGAACTGTGTGCACTAAGACATGGGCCCTGAGACCCATAAGAATATGTGCGTAACAGGGTTCACGTCATAATGCACATAGTTCCGTTTGACAGAAATACGTCCAATTGAGAGAGTATTCTAAAGATCGCATTTGCATGGTTTAACATCCGGCATTTGTAGTTGATTGGATGGACCCTTGTGTCCTACCGGGATTACATTGTAACATATCTGAAAACTTTTTACATGAGTTCCTATCTCAAAAGTCCCAGAGTAATACTTCACAAGATGATTTTATTTTAAGACTTCTGGCGATTAATTTTGAAGCACAAGCCTCTTCAAATTCGAGAGTCTCATTTTACAACGCTACTTTTCGTAAGTGTAAGTCTTCCGATGATTTGCAATTTGAGTGTATTTAAGGGCAAAGAGGGCATCTATTTTTGTCTCATGACATCACATCGAAATTAATTTTTAATCTAATGATGTAGTTTTTGTAGTACGCCTGATTGAGTAATTATATGTAATACGGGTGAGTTGAGACGTGATAAGGCTTTGGGTTCAAAGCGATTACTAAGACCAAATTTCTATTTTGTTTTTTGTTTTTATGATTGTTTATTCTGTGGGTTGAAATAGAGAGGACAAATTCGTATGATCAAGGGTGTTTTTTTTATTTACATTTATTTAAATGCGTTGGGGATATTTTTAGTTCCAGGATTATCAGCTACCAATATGAGAAAAATGTACGTAATTATACCTTTTCTGGTGGCGTGTCACGAAATTGTGTGGGAGGGACAATTAATACTTATTCTATTCTCTTCCCGCAGCAAAGGGTTGAGGGTTGAGGGTAAACACTCTCAGAGAGAAGATCCTACCATGCAGCTGTGAGAAATGACGCGAATTTCAGATTAAGATCGCTATTAAGGAAATCTTAATCAGAGGTTGTGCTCATAGTTTTTTAAACTTTCTACGGCGTGGCTCGGTTTGACTCCCCAAAAGTTCGTACCTTTAACCATCAATTTTGATCTCTCCCAGCAAGGGATACAATTTTTCTTGGTCGATCCCATACTAAGAATTTTTTCCGAAGAAATTCCCGCTCATTTACAAGCTTACTTCGACGATGCCAACATTACTCACAATAACAATAGTTCGCATCATGTTCGCATCAGACTCTTTATCAAACTTACTCAGAGTCAACTCTAACCTCTGCACGCGCATAGCGCGGCATTGATTTAATTCAAAAAGAGCTGTATTAAGATAAGCTCGGAGAGTGTATTGTGAAACCAAGTTCCGGAGGAAAAAGCAATCCAAAAAAATATTTCGACGATTAGATAATATTTTAAATTTTCAACTAACACTTGCCACATCTGAGCATAATACAACGAATTACTGAGCGGCACACCATCTCTTACGCTCTTACCTAGGAGGCGCGAGATGTTGCAGCTTTGTCTCCGGGGCTGTAAGTTCAGAGACTTTCTTCTTGAAATAAATGTGGCTGAGTTTAAATTCTCCCACCAAAACATTAGCTGACCGTACTGCTATTAATAAGGCCTTCAAATATTGCCAAGTAACATCTTTATAAGCCTCTTGATTTTCACCACCTCTCGAAACGCACATCGTAGTCGTAGACG